GAAAAAAGGATGGAACTCCTCTAGACGAGGAAGATGATATTATGCTCTACTACCCACTAGGTGGCACCTTTGGTCGTTTCCCAAGTAATGGAGCAGTTGGCGTAAGCACATGTCCTCGTGGACAACTACCTCCCACTTGTGACAAATTTGATCGTTGCCCTGAGAACCTGATAAAGGTCACAGTGAAATAAGTAGCTTGAACATTCTTTGATCATGGATGCTAAAACCTATTGAGACTCTTTAGTTTAGATGTGTGTTAAATAATCTAATCTTCATCAATGAAAAATGTGTGTTAATGATTAGTTACAGGCGATCGCCAATTAAAAGATGGACAAAATATATAACAGCTGCACGGGCTGCAACAATCAGTCGTTTTAAAAATTCATAATAGCTGGACTACTCATTAACACTGAAGTGGTTCTTGTTAATGTGTCAATGCTCACTTGCCAAGAAAAAGGTTTCGCCCTATGTGTGCATTCTACATACTTAAGAGCTTCAGTGATGTGAACCCAAGGATATCCTGATGCAAAAATAGATTCATAAATCATTAGCCGCATAGCTGGACATAGCTCACAAGTTATTCATCTAATTTTAATGCGTAATACCACACCATAAAAAATAAGTTCATCAGTCCTGTCTTTACTGTGAGACTTTATCTACATGTATACTAAAATGATGCACATTTTAAAAAGTGTTATCACATTAGCACATTACAAAAGTGTTATCATTACCTGTGCTTATATGTGGATTAGTTGGAGGAGATGTGTGAGGAAGAATTGTGGCGTACAAAACAGTGTCTTCCCTTATGTCTGGTGGTCTTTGAATATTCCATACAGCTTCAGGTTCCACTTGAATGTACTATATATTATTATTATTGGGGAGAGGGAGCAGTGTACTGTTATTCATCTCTCTGACAGTATTAAAGCCACAGCCCCGTTTCCATATAGACTGAAGGACTAAACATGTTTCTGACCCACATGGAAACCTGCCCTAGAAAGTCCAAACCAATGCACTGGTGAGGTCATTCGATGCTACAAACAAATGACGTTACACAGAGATGTCTCTCCCAAGCTCTCAACATTTTCACTTGCTTATAACTAGCACTCTAACTGTCTGTACGGAAACTAGAGTGAGGGGTACAGAGTGTAATCATAGGGGTCTCTCAGATAATGAATTTGCAAAGTTGTGGCAAAGATAGCTAGTTTCAGTATTATATGGCCTGAAGTGTGGTAATCAACTCTACCCTACATAGCTACCTATGTGATGTCCTTTAATGTATATAGCTGTGGTTTAATTTAGCATCAGTTCATGAATGGTTGCCGCAGGTGTAGCTATACATAAGACAATTTACAAGCTCACCATTTCCCATCGTAAACTTTGACACACATTGTGCGTGTGCGCACTGTAGGTACATATCTACATGTAAATGTACGTGTATGATGTAAAGTGCACTAACGGCAACTTCCTTTGGTTATTTTACATCTGCCATACCCCACTGACTTGGTGCATTATAAACTGATGAAAGTTTTTGGATATTCACATTGAGAACTCTGTCTCCTGAGGGGCTTAAACCTAGACGAGTAGGCACCCACAGAACACCATCGTGGACAGCCCTGGTACAAGACCTGGCAATAAACATGTTAGAATGAATCATACGTCTATCTATATAATAGACAACATCTGCCTGTGTATTCACTTGCCTGAAGAAGATCCCTCAGGGATCGAAACGTCGCAAGATGATATTTTTGGTCAGCAGTCTGCACGCGAAGCCCTTCACCCTTTGCGGTAGCATCAGCTTATAAGGACCCGTATATACGGGCTTCGGCTGGAGAGATCGGTTGTTTTTGGGACCAGACTAAAAGAATCTAACCCACTGACTTGGTGGAAAGATCATAAGAATGAACTTCCACTGTGGGCGAGTGCATGCTCTGCGCAGCGGCTGTTTCTATTCTCTTAACTCTTTCAACTCACAGCAAGAATCCTCATTGAAGAGATTATACAGAACTTTCTGTCATTCTACAGTATAATAATTGTAGTAGTAACTGAAAAATTATTTCATTTGTAATGCTTGGTTCTTTGCTCATCGATCTCCTTTTTAACTGAAGAAAAATGGAAACTCGTGAGAAACATCGGTGAAAGCAAAAGTAAAAGGTTTACATTATGAGCATAAAGTCATGAGATCAGGATGTGCAGCAGATTAATAAATCTGAGAGTAACCTATTGAAGAAAGCGTCTGTGCCAGCGCTAACACGCTTCAAGGTAGACTTTCTTGTACAAAGTAACTGTGTGCAAAATTCCTCACTAATAAAAGTTGTGAAGTAAAGTGCTGCAAAGTAAGGAGATCAACAAATCTACTGAAACTACTCACAAGAAAGGCATGTTCAGAAATGCTGCACAGAGGATGCAAAATTCCTTATGTAAAGTTTGTCACTCAAATTCACTTAACCATAAAAACCATAAACAGAAAGGGTGTGTCCTAAACTCTCCTAACAACATTCTTTTTGATAGTTGTGGGTAATTGTTCGCTAATTGTTTTACCCCTTATTCTGTATGTGTCAAATAGCTTTCTTAATTGTGAGGGAATTTGTATCCTTCTCTAAAGGAGTCTCTATGCGCAGACAACAACGTCAGCAAGCTATGTGGGATAGGCATAATATGATACATGTGCCCTGTTCGTTATAAAAAGCTGCGAAGCAGAAAAGAGCAAGCACCAGATTTCTTCTGTGACTAACACATTTCTAACCGTCTACAGGAATGAAGCTGTGCCTCTATATCGGAGTGGCAGTCTCTCTGTTGGTGACTACTGTACTGGCAAGTCCAGTGGAGGACTATCCTGTGGAAATGGACTCTCAGGATATGACCAGTGATGGACAGTCCGAGATGGATGAGGACTACAATGCTTTCCTGGAGTCCTTTCCTCAGGGAGACTTTGAACCACAGGGTGATGTGCCAATTGCACAAGATGATATTCCACAAGGTATAAGGATAATGAATATTATTGGTGAATGTATCCAGGTTTGCTTCGTTGCTGCAGCAATGGATGATGCATTTCTCATGGCAGAGCCAAGGCTACCACCAAAATCAACAGCAGACCTGAAGCATCAACTTTTGAATCGTCCCAAACAGCAAGCAGACTAGCATTCAATCTAGCTGCAATGCTAAAAGTGCGTGGAGTGCAGAGTCATAAGTATGCATGTGGGCTATGATTCCTAGTCAAGTAGCTGCCACGAAGTTAAAAGTGAGGACAATAACATTCAAGTGTGCATGTGGGCTATGGTTTCATAGCTGTTATTATAGGGTGATACAGGCTTAAACAATATAGTAAGTAGACTTTGCTTCACAGTGTATAATAATGTTGCAGGGATCACCCATGGTGCCCACTATTGGACTTCAGTATGAGTCAAACATGGCCAAGTGGTTGGGCTGTAATGCACGCACATGTTACGGCGCACATGCCCCAGAATGATCTTTACAGGAGCTGATTGGAACATCTGCTGGGAGAAGTGTTTCAAAATATACAGGCCTCTTGGTCCTGGTCCATTAGGTCTGGAGATTTCGTTGGTCTCTACTACGGTCGTACTAGACACTGGTTTTCACTTCATCAGAACATCGCCCGCACTCTACCCTGCCCTGGAAGTGTGAACCCAGCCACTGGTGAGGTCATTCGATGCTATAAACAATGATGTAACACAGAGATGTCTCTCCCAAGCTCTCAACATTTTCACTTGTTTATAACTAGCACTTATATCTGTCTGTGCAAATATTTGAGTGAGGGGTACAGAGTGTAATTATAGGGGTCTCTCAGAAAATGAATTTGTAAAGTGGTGGCAAAGATAGCAGGTTTGGGAGCTATTTTATGGCCTGAAGTGTGGTAATCAACTCTACCCTACATAGCTACCTATGTGATGTCCTTTAATGTATATAGCTGTGGTTTAATTTAGCATCAGTTCATGAATGGTTGCCGCAGGTGTAGCTATACATAAGACAATTTACGAGCTCACCATTGCCCATCGTAAACATTGACACACTCAACTTTGCTCCAACTCACAAAATTTGTGATTGTAGACCTGAAAGCAGCACATTTACTAGGCGCAATAATGCATTATGTAGCGTTATGTGCTCAGTAAGGTATGTATCTACATGTAAATGTACGTGTATGATGTAAAGTGCACTAGCGGCAACCTCCTTCGGTTATTGTACATTTTATGTCAAAAGTGTTTATTTCATAGGGTTTGATCATCTCTACAAGTGGTTCCTTTGTGGCGGGGAAGTTTTCCGGATATATGCCTATGGAAAAAAGGATGGAACTCCTCTAGACGAGGAAGATGATATTATGCTCTACTACCCATTAGGTGCCACCTTTGGTCGTTTCCCAAGTAATGGAGCAGTTGGCGTAAGCACATGTCCTCGTGGACAACTACCTCCCACTTGTGACAAATTTGATCGTTGCCCTGAGAACCTGATAAAGATCACAGTGAAATAAGTAGCTTGAACATTCTTTGATCATGGATGCTAATTAGCCATAGCTTAAGACTCTTGAGTTTAGATGTGTGTTAAATAATCTAATCTTCATCAATGAAAATGTGTGTCAATGCTTAGTTACGGGCGCTCGCCAATAAAAGATGGACAAAATATAATAATAATAATAATAACGGCTGCATGGGCTGCAATAACGCAATAAGTCGTTTGAAAATTTCACAAGAGCTGGACTAGCTACTCATTAACACTATAAAGTGGTTCTTGTTGTTCTTTTCCGACCTCTCCATCCCATTATGGAGTGTGATCAGGGGTGGAGTCTACTTAAGTGGTCGCTCCACCTCATAAGGGGAAGTACCCAGCCACGCCCACTGCCGAATGGAAGCTGTTTTAAAGTGTCAATGCTCACTTGCCAAGAAAGTTTCGCACTATGTGCATTCTACATACTTAAGAGCTTCAGTGATGTTAACCCAAGGATATCCTGATGCAAGATTCATAAATCATTAGCCGCATAGCTGGACATAGCTCAAAGTTATTCATCAAATTTTAATGAGCAATACATAAACACACCATAAAAAATAAGTTCATCTGTCACTTCCATTTACTGTGAGACTTTATCTACATGTGTACCAAAATGATTTTAAAAATGCTTTCACATTACAAAAGTGTTATGGATTAGTGGGAGGAGGAGATGTGTGAGGAAGAATTGTGGCGTACAAAACAGTGTCTTCCCTTATGTCTGGTGGTCTTTGAATATTCCATCCAGCTTCAGGCTCCACTTGAATGTACTATATAACATTATTGGGGAGAGGGGGACAAGAAAGCCGTGAATAATGGCATGTCAACACATATATAAAAAACACTGAGAGCAAAAAATGTACATGAAATCACACTTTGAATAGCATACATTTCTCTGACGAGAAACAACTGGAGCAGTGCTGTGTGGAGACGACTCTTGGTTCACACCGGAGTCTCTACTGTCTGGTCCAGACAACCGGTTCAGGTTGTTTGTCTCAGTCTCAGCAGTGTTTGGAGTCTGCTGCACGTCTGTGGTAGCTTCAGACAGATTTGGGAAGTTGTGTGTACGAGTGGTAGTGTTTGGTGGCTCTGTGGTAGCATTTGGCAAACTGTGGGTATTGTTGGTAGCGTTTGGCGAGCTGTGGGTATTGTTGGAAGGTGCAGGTGAGGGTGGTGGTAGCTCCGCCTCAATGGTAGTGTTGGACTCCATACTGCCCTGTGATTCAGAAGACTCCCTAGTGTCACTGAGGGAGCTCCCTTCAGTGAGTTGTTGTGTTGTGTCATCACTGCCAGAGGAGCCACTAGACTCTGTTGTTGAATGCTTGCCCAGGAAACTGAAAGTATGAGGAAAGATAATCAGGCTGTGGTAGGGAAGGTGGTTACCCCAGTTCTTTCCCAGAGGTCATTGTGATGTCATAGTCATTGAACTGTTACTATGTGTATATATATGCATAGGTATTGCTAAGTGGAATTGTTGTATGCAATATGGTGGAATAGAAAGTACACCTCTGTGTGTTTTGCATAAAAGATATGTGTAATAATCACAGTCAAGTAGGTGCAGAGTTTGCACGATACATTTTCAGTACACAGCATTGATTGCAAGCGTGACTAATGTACCTCTTCCTCTCAACATATTCATTGGCTGCACTTTTACCACATTCAGGATGTCTATGTCTCTTAGAAACTGCATTAGGAGGAATAACAACCAGTGAATAACACAAAACACTGGCTGAGATCATCGTGCAAAGTCAGCATCTAAGCAACAAACTTTTGCTGGGTCCACCAGCCTACCTCTGCGGTTCCTAGTGACCAGCACAGCCACAACACCCACTATTCCCAGGAAGGTAATGATGAATACCATTGGGAATACTACCGACAGAACCACAGTCAGCTCTTTGAAACCTGGGGGGAATTTAAGAGAAGCAATGAAGCATGAAATAAACTGTCCCTAAGAATGAACATACCATTTTCACTGTTGCCTGCTGGGCCTGCTGATGACTCAAGATCTGAGGCTTTCGGAAAGCAGCCTGCATATAAAAAACCCAGGACATAATGCATAGAAAAATTGGCTAACATGAAATCATACCCATGTTGTGGAAGTCTGAGGAAGTTGAAGATACCAATGTGTGGTATGCAGGGTTCTCTTGACCCATAGAGTCATCGTCATCATCATAGACCAGTAGTGAATACTCTCCTGCTGGTAGTGTTGCCTTTATCACAGCTTCTCCAACCCCCTCCAGTCTTTGTGCATTGCACTCTTCCCTTCCTTCCCCCTCATCATTGATCAGGACTATCCTACAACCTCTGGCCTCTGACCCACTAGCAAAGTAGCATGTTATCTCGTATTCAGTGTTTGTCAGTCTGACCTCCACATTCTGGACGTCAAATGTACCTGTAAGCAGATTATCATACAGTGCAGCTGAGCTTGCAGGATGATGAAAGCAAGAAAAATCCCTCAATGCCCACAAGTGCAACAAACAGGAAACTGTATCATAGGGGAGTTTCCCCTTTTACAAACAAAGATTATTCATACTTACTCAAGCTCAGCTCAAATGTGGAGGTTCCATCCACTGTCAGAGTGACATCATACAGTTCATTCAATTGAATATCGCCTGACTGGAGAGTCAAAGTCGGCTGCTGTTGACTTGTAAGTGAAATACTGATCAGTTGTTGTTGCGTGAAGGTTGGCATGAGATAGAGGTCAAAGCTCGTCTCCTTGTTACAGTTTCTTCTAAACTGCAACTGGATCATGAGCCCACAGTTAGTTATGCACGATATTATTATACCGAGTTAGCTATACCTGGAAGGTTATTTCAGGAGATTTCCCACCAAAAGTGACTGTGGCAGTGTTAGACACTGTCACCACTGTGTAAAACACTGGAAGTTATAAGCAGCCACAATAATAAGATACTAGGTCCATACCATCCAGAGTCAGTGGAGGACTGGTATATTTGTCTCCCACACCAACAACATTGACTGCTGCTATCTCCACTTGGTAGTCAGATAGCTGGCAGTCTTGTGACTGGAGGAGGTACTCAGTGTCTGTTGTGTTGACAGTGAGCACAGAGTGATGGTCCTCCATGTTGATAATGGTCACTAGATAGTGGGAGATGTCTGGCTCCACATCAGTGATATTGTGAGAGAATGGAGGACTCCAGCTGAACAGTATGGACCCATCTCTCACGATGGTATGCACATCAGGAGCAGTAGAGGTCCTATATGATTGCAGTGTAGTGACTATACCATTATCCATATTATTTTTGCACAGCAAACCTTGGATGATGATGGTGAACTCCAGTGGTTCAGGGAGTCACTAGGTTGATCAAAGTTTGATGACAACACATTTCAGAGTTGTTCCATTAACTTCAGCAGTACAGTGAACATTACTTTTCTTCCCTTCGTCCCATTGGGTAGCTGGCTCTTCATCTCCCACAGTAAATGTGCCTTCATTTCAAAAAATCCTCATCACCAGTTCCCCAGTTGATTTCAAAGTGGTCTTCGTCAGGTGCTGTACAGAGAATACTGTGTACTTCTCCCTCCGGGAACACTAGCTGCTCTCCTGTAAGAATGAATCGTCTGACATGAAGAGTGACTGATGGACTATATATGTATAATTATATCCGTGCAGGATATGGGCCAGCGATAATGGCAGAAAATACAAGCTGTGTATATTGCTTCGCATGAATTCGTGAATTGTGAGTAATCTTAGCGGCAAGATGAGTAGTTGCTCCAAGCTCTTTCCCTTTTTATAGTCGAGTCGTCTCGGCAATGCGCCAACGTAGCCCCCCCCCCCCCCATCTCCGCGCAGTGCGCTAACCCCCTGGGGGCGCGCATGGATGTCCGCGGTTACTATGACTACGCGCAACGAGACAACATATCGTCGCTATCTACACGCTGGCTTCAAAAGGCTACTTTCGTATAACTACTGCGTTAAAAAGTTATTGGCGTAAAATGCAAGTGAACAAGACAAGTTTAGCACAGAGACCGGGTCCCGGGCTCTGTGTTCCTTGGAGGCACAGTCACAACTCACCTCTCCGCATGCTATCTCTAGCCTACTATGATTCATAGTGTGAGTAATACGCAGTAGCAGTGTCATGCCAGTCGCCGCGGTTTGCACGTTACGCTTTTCCTAAATGCTACACTAGAACAAACATTTCTACTTGGCACTCAACCTTTTGGCTCGCATACTCTATAGACTCCAAGGCATTGCCGGCGCATCCATTGCTAGCAACCGATTATAGCTGAAGTGGCATGATGTAAGATCCCATCCAACAGGTAGCCGTACAAGTAGGTAGTGAACATTCTTATGCGTTTCTGATGTGAAGATGAGATAATTAGCATAGAGTAAGCTGGATATTCCGTTTCATTATCAAACACAATCACGATAATTTCCATTTGTAAAACTTCACAGTGGCTGCCTCTAGACTCCCAGCTATTCTACTGGCAGTGTAGACATGACGAGAGTTCGCCTTGTGAGATCTCAAGACAATCTTACACTCTTTGAGGTTTGAGCCCACTGAAAAGTGACACGTGATGTGCACATAACCACTGTATCTTGATGGTCACACTCTGTACTCAAATGTACCTAAATGGTATAGAGTATGTGACATCAAAGTTTTTTTATAATGCGAACATACTGCAGGTGAGGTGATGCTGAAATCTGGGAAAACCTTGAATTCTCACAGTGGCTTTGTAATATTCGTTGAATGTAACCTCTTCTGATGACAGGGTAAGCAACGTTTGTCCGAATTGCATGGTATTACTGAGGTTAAGTGAGGGGCCAGAAGAATAGGTTGGGACGAGCTCAACATGATATATGACGTCGTCCAGACAGTTGCTGTGTAGCTGTAGAGAGAAATGTTAAGTATGACAACCGACTGAAATCCCCTTTACTAAGTAAGGTATACGTACCTGGAGCTTTAAAACCGGAAAATCTCCACTTAGATCAGTTTTAAAGTTTGAAACACTCCTCAGTACTACAGTGAGATAATGGATAAATGGCTAACTATTAGCTATATATACGGCAATTTGCAATTCATATCTATACCTTCCATGCTAAAGTACGGACTGGCATATTTCTCTCCCACACCAACTACATTGACTGCTGCTATTGCCACTTGGTACTTGTCGATTCCACAGTTTCCATTGTGCAAAATGTATCTTGTCTTTATTGTTTTGACCGTGTATTCAGGAAGACCATTTCCATAAACATACACTAGATAGTGGGAGATGTCTGGCTCCACATCAGTGATATTGTGAGAGAACGGAGGACTCCAGCTGAACAGTATGGATCCCTCTCTCACATGGTAATCCACATTAGGAGCAGAGAGGTTACCTACATGCAGTATCAGATAAGTGAGTACAGCATATTCACATTGCACGACACGTAAAACCTTGGATGATGATGGTGAAATCGAGCGGCTCAGGGGAGTCACTAGGTTGGCGAAAGTTGACGACAACACATGTCATAGTTATTCCATTAACTTCTGGTGATGCAGTGAATATTACTCTTCTTCCCTTTGTCCCATTGGTAGCTGGCTCTTCATCTCCCACAGTAAAAGTGCCTTCATTTCCAAATTCTCCTCCATCAGCAGTTCTCCAGTTGATCCCAAAGTGGTCTTCATCTTGTGCTGTACAGAGAATACTGCGCACCTCTCCCTCTGGGAACACTAGCAGCTCTCCTGTGACACGTGTTTGCAAATTACTAGCTATAGCTAGCTCTAACCTCCTCTACCTTGCGATGAGCAGGTAAAAATCAGGCAGAGTCCCACGCTAAAAAACCGTAACACGACGGTTGCCATTGCGGTGCGATGCAGCCGTCTCAACCCTGTCTGGGCCGATCGGTCGGTGTTGCCTATTATAGCTGGTGTGCGCGCGACTGCACCGCCCCGGCGCGCATGCGCGCGTGGGAGCCGGCGCGAGCGAGCTTTGCGCGCTGCGCAGCGTAATCTCGCCACGTATAACGTAAAGGCATCCGCTGTCCGGCCCAGCGTAGCTCCAGTGAAAGTACTATAGCCGCCACCGCGTCCACCGGATTGCTGTACGATGTATAACCTTGTCATCACCTTGTTACTTTTTTCTGTTGCAAGTGCAGAGAGAGACTGCTCCACGTGGCATTATCTATCTGCAGAGGGCCGCTGTGTATGCGGCAGTAGTCTGAATGACGTGGTAGTCTGCAATGATACATCAGATCTAGTTGGTGTCCTGGCGGACTACTGTCTGACCTCGGATGGTAATGAGAGCGTGGTGGGACACTGCCTAGCTGAAGATGTCCACAGAGAAAGGCTCCTCGGTCCACTCGGTAACTACATTAAAGTATTTCCAACTCTCCCTGAACAGGACAGCAACACTTGTGGCTTTCTCAACCGCCACGGAAGACTGTGCGGTCAGTGCAAACGTAGCACATCAATACATGCTTATACGTATGACATGAAGTGCTATCCATGTCCATCGAACATAAGGATTGAAGTTATAAAGTACATTTGCATTGCCTATGTCCCTCTCACACTCTTTCTCGTTGTTGTGGTTGTATTTCATATCAGTGTCACCTCTCCTGCTATGAATGTTCCAGTCCTCTGCTGCCAATTACTCTCCCTGCCCTTTGCTCTAAGGTTCATCTGGCAATATGCACTGGTTTACCCAAAATTGAGGCTCTTTGTTCAAATCTTTGGAACATTATATGGCATATGGAATCTTGACTTTTTTCGTTTGGTTATTCATCCCATATGCTTGCAACTGGATGTGATGAATTTGATTGCTCTAGATCTGCTAGTGGCTGCCTATCCTCTCTTCCTGCTGGTGTGTTTCTATGTACTTGTGACAGCTCATGACAGAGGATGGAGGCTAGTTGTGAGGCTGTGGAGACCATTCCTCTGGTGTTCCGCAAGAATCAGACAGCAGTGGAACGCAAAGCATTCCATCATCGATGCATTCGTAACATTCCTTCTGCTGTCTTACATAAAGTTTCTCAACACATCCATCGATTTACTAGTCAGTAGCAATGCTTACAACGTGCATGGCAAATCTGTTGGTACATATCTCTTTAACAATCCTACAGTAGGGTTTATGAGTCACCGACATGTGCCCTACGCCATCATTTCTATTGTGGTTCTTGTGGGACTCATTATACCTCTCATTCTCCTGATACTCTACCCAATGAATTGGTTCCAAGTCTTCCTCAACAAGTGTCACTTGAACAGCCCAGGTCTGAGAATGTTCATGGAGTGTTTCCAAGGATACTATCGTGACAGGTCGGATGGAGGCTGGGAGTGCAGGTACTTTGCAGTTGTGTATCCTGCCCTCCGAATTCTAACCTACTTCATGTACATTATCTTTAAAGGGCTCAGCTTTTACACAGGATGTATTGTTCTCTGCGTTGCTGTCATTGGTGTCATTGTACTAGTACAACCTTATAAGCCACCCTACAGGTTATATAACAAGTTGGATATTGTTATGCTCTCCTCGCTTCTCTTGTTTCTCATTGGGCTTATCCAAAATTCTTATTATGGCAATGCAGTAAAGTTGGTTATTGTTTGTTTCACCACACCTATTCCCACAGTTTACTTCACTTTCAAAGTTTTACTTTTTCTGAAAAGGGTTTTTTGTAAGTTTTTAACGAAGCATCCCAAAGTACACAACATTCAACAGTTGTTATATGGTAGTGTGTAGCATAATTGTCGTGCATGTTCTTGTTTCGCTACTTATAAACCTCAATTTTGTTACATACATGCCTTGTTTTGTTGCAATTGTATTATGTTATTTAAATGCCAATGATAAAGGTTCACAATTTGCTTTCGTTTTTTAAAAGACAACGTTTTATGCAGCCATTTAAGTAATCGGTGCTGATTACACACCCCCACATTTTCCACCTGAAAATAAACTAGTTGGGCATTGGTAACTGTACATTAAGAAGATGATAATAATAAGAGACTATAATTTGTATGAGATGCACTAGTGAAATGTTCATACAGTGGTAGTATATACCAGTAGAGGTACATGTTTTTCACTGATGTGAGGAGAAGTCAACGCCAATGTCTACACTGCGAGCCAGCTCACATATCTTTGATACGTTCACCACCTGACACATGGAGAATATATAGTAGTACAATATGTGTGTTTTAAAAAAATTACCCTCTGTGCGAATGCGCAGCGAGGGTTACAGTACTTGGTCAGTATATTTGTGGCTATTTATTGCTAAGTAAATTGCACAGTTATTGTCTTGTTTCTATACGTGCACTTACTACACTTTCCACGCACTGCGAGTTAAAATGCTGACAATTCAGAGTTATTGAAAGTAGGTTTATGGCATATAGAGATATCAAGTTACCGTTCTGGCAGCGAGGTCAAAGTCCTCCACAGCGATCATCTTGAGTCCACTGGCCTCAATCATAGCCTTGGCCTTCTTCTGTCTGTTCCCTGCAGTGGTAACACTGCATCCACTTTAGACAAGACATGTTAAACTAAGTACAGGTCTCAAAGCAGGACATATCATTCCTCCAGTAAAAATTATGACATATTTGAGCCAAGCCAACTTCAAGTGCATCTTTTCTTTCAATCTGATGGCAGTACATCAGGGATAAATTTAGTTAAGATCAATACTGCCCAGTAATAGAATTAATTTCTGCTTTTAGTCTAAATTGTAGCTCTTATATTATACACTTCCACATTCCCTTTAAGTGATGCAGCATTGGCTAGAGAGCAATTAGCTCGCACTGCCTTTCCAATGCAGAACACATATTATAGTGAGGGACCTTGTAGCCGGACGACAATGGGGACAGTAATGTTGATCTCCTGTGCCGCCGCTATGATGCCTCTGGCTATCTCATCACATCGAACTATGCCCCCAAATATGTTCACAAACACTGCATTCACCTGGGAAAGAGTGTTGTGGTATTAGAACATTCACATAGGTACTGTAGTCCCAAGACAAACCTTACTCTATGAACATGTTTGCAACTAGAATCATGTAAAGTACATATATAGTTTCATGTGTTGTTGTGAGCACAAAATATGCTGCAAAATTAAACCCCAATTACAAGTGTGACATATATATACTTCATGAGAATAACGCAATTGGGTTTACGAGGGAGACATGTGTCCTCACATTGTGGTCACTGTGGAAGATCTGAAAGCCGTCCATGACCTCCTTCGCACTGGCCCCTCCCCCTATGTCCAGGAAGTTGGCTGGCTCTCCTCCATACAGCTTGATGATGTCCATGGTGGCCATTGCCAAACCTGCTCCGTTCACTACACACAAACAAACATCAACATGATAAAAGTTTATCAGGTCTTGATTCTAGATCCATAATTCCGACTACTATGTAAGCTGGAAAAGTATTGTAATCATTGTGTATCTTAAACTGGTGGCCTACAATTATTAATTTGTGGAAGCACATTGGGAGAAAGACAAGACAACCAGTCATCTTAAACACATTGACACTATGCAACTGAAGCATAATTCACCCTCTGGAGTTGATGTGAAAAATGGAGGCGGAGAAGGTGTTTGAAACATGGAGATAAGGACCACACCAATCCTCATATACTACCTTGTACTACAGTACATAATAGGAGAGGCCCTGCCTATAAAACACTTATTGTATACCTAAGCAGCCGATGCTTCCGTCGAGGCCGATGTAGGTGATGCCAGACTTGGCGGCCTCCACGTCGCGAGGATCTTCCTGAGACCAGTCCCTCAGACCGAACACCTCCTTCTGGCGGTACTCCGAGTTGTCGTCAAAGTTTATCTTTGCATCCATACACAGTACTGTTGGGACGGGGTGGCAGTTTAGGTGTGGGGAGAAACGAAACAAGGAACTCTTAAGGCGCAAACACTCTCTACTGCAAAATGAGTTCATATGAATTCACATTACAGTGGATTATGTAACTGTATATGCGTGCATGTACCCATGGTTTCAGCCAGGAAAGATTTTGTCTCCCACTATTACGTATTATTGGCTGCCTCGTGTAAGCAGTCAACCTACTTGTGTTAATGTTTTCGTTCTTCCCAAGCAACAGGCTGTGTATGTACTGTAGTAGCTGCATCAGTGAAATACGTATCTTTGGGGACAACACTACCTCTGAAAAGGGACCCCTCCAAATAAAGAACACCTCTCCATAGAGGGAACTTGGTTTTGCCCCATACTATCATTATACTACCTCCGAATTAGAGTCACATCTCTAAATCAATGGAAGTGCAAACCCTCGGCGAACTGCGCATGCATTTGCGGTACCGCTAATTGATGGGCTGGGCTTGTATTAGTATGCGTATACTCATGGTGTCCCGCTAGTAGCTCGCAGAGAGTCTGACATGGGCAGAAAAGCTGTTCTGAATCTGTGACTACTGCAATGACGCAGAAACAGCAGATGTACAAGGTTAAATCCTTCCCTCTCCTCGAGAGCCTTGGTGCAAGGCTACACAAGTCTTACTTGTACATACTGCTTACATCTGTTCTGAGAGTCAGTGGCCAGAGGGTTAATCTCCAGAGCGGTGCACTCTCTCTCAATAAACATCTGGTAGAGCTTTGTGATCTGATCCACAGCCTGTGCATGCAGCACACAGATAATACTTATGTACACATAGTAGGAGTAAAGCCGACTTTTTACAGTAGGACGTGTGCATCAACTTCACACACACTGAGTTGCTCTAAGTGTACGTATGTGGTGTACAACAATACACACTGTATGTATGTGTCAAAGTTTTGCTGGCGCTCAGTTGGTAGAGCGCTCGCCTAGAGTTGTGGGTTCGAATCCCACCCAGGGAAGTTATTGTTTTGAAGAGCTGTCGTGGATGTAGTGGATGTTTCCTTTCCCATGCCTTTCTACGTACCTCGTTGCTGACACATGTAGTACACTTGGCATTGGGCTTCATTTAAGGTACAAACACGCACTACTTACAGCGTCAAAAGTCTCAGGAGGGATACCAAGGAAGTTGACCATCTTCTCCACCTGCTCCTTCTGAATACCTGAACAGGTTGCACATTATGATATTAAACAGTATAAAGCCATGTCCATATACTTGGCAACAGTATTTACTGTTGCTCAATAAATTGATATACAGGTATACCATTCCTACACAACAGGGCTTAGCGACTACATCATCCCCAAACCGGGCAAGTAGTAATGATTACTGTAGGCACCTAAATGGGGAAGACCCTGCAAGTTAACTAGCCACACATTTTTAGCGAGCCGGCACGAAGGGAGTTTGTTATATTTATAACAGTGCTCAATTTGTTTTGCGCGTGCACCTAAGGTATGTGCAGTGTCCATCACAACAATTCCCGCAATCAGACGACTAGTGTACACTCACCAACAATGTGTCCATGTCAAAATAACATATAGCAATATTGAAAGGTCATTGTAGATGCCGTATGTGTGCCAAGGATAACTAACCGTCTATAATGTCGACAGGTTCTTTGAGAATGGCTGAGGGGTTGGTCCTAGCAATCTCCTCAATATTGACCCCTCCGTGAGGACTTGCAATCATGGCAGGGCCCTACCCATCAAGGAGCAGACAATGAACTCACAACTAGACATGTGGCAGTTACATACATGTACATACATGTAGGAAGGTTGGTTCTTACCATGAAAGATCGGTCCATGACCAGAGCAAAGTAGTACTCGTTCACCAGCTCTAGCTTCTCTGACACCAACACCTGCACGTACAACACACAGTGTGAAAAACATCTTCAAAGACACAGTACACAATTGTACATACTGGAGGTGTGTAAACAACACCTGACCGAAACAGGAGTGTTTAGAAATAATAGTACATACCTTCCTACAAGGTCTACCAACTGCACCAGTCTGTTTAGTGTGTAGCTGATGGCCAATCATTTGACTGGCTATATCCTTAGCTTCCTCTGACCTAGATGAAGTATGGGGCATATTGCACATACATACATGTCTATATAGGAAGACACTTGTTTACTTCTTAATATCATATCCTCTGTGTAACTAATGTGCACCCTATCCGACACATTTCAGTACCATACATGCCCAACTATACTGTGGAATGCAATAGTGTGAGTGAATACACTTATTACGGTGGTGCATGGTGATAGCTGCATGTACTGTAGGTAGTACAAAGGCCACACAGCAAGTGATCAGACTGCATACTCCATCAAGCACTCGTTTGCATATGTGTGTATGTTAGATACAATGTGCGTCAGGAGCTCCAGTGCACTTCGAGCAACATGTATTACTTCAGAAAAATGGCACTTGAATAGAAAGGATAGCTATGTATTCAAGTGGGCCCAGGACTTACGAATTGACAATTTTAACTCCTCCTTCTAGTCCCGAGTCAAACCTTCCCAGCCCCCTCCCTCCGGCCAGCACCTGTGCCTTCAGCACTGATACCCCTCCTGTGGTGGATAAAGTAAAATGTCGATGTGCAAAACAATGTGCCACCTCAATTTCGCACTACTTAAGAGGTATTAGTGGTTAATGCTATATATATGTAGAGCTATCAGGATTGATTACTGGTTCTGATTGGTGAGCGGAAGCGAGCCAACCTAGTCGTTCGTTCGAGCGGAATTTTCTATATATATATATTTATTTATTTATATACGACCGGCGTCGTGTAAGTGCGCATGCGCGGCTTTGTACGCGCTTCTTTTTATCCGAAAGTATTTCCAAATTCTTACACATTTTCACACACGGTGCCTCGCGCCGATCGATCTAGCCAGCTAGAGAACTCTTCTCCATTCGACGGCATGCGCTGCAATCTTCGGTGACTGACCGAGGCTGTACCTCTTCCCAATCTTCATGGTTCCAAGGTGCAACTTGCAAATACGCTAGCATTACTCGTGCTGCCTGGTGGACCACGACTGAGCTGAAAGCGTAAGGTAGTACCGTTCTGCTCACCTGCTCACCGTTCTGATACGCATGCAACGGGCGACAGGTAGATCTGTCTTGCTTCACGAAAGGAAAGCTGTGCGCTGACGGCATGTTATGCAGCCCGAACATCGCGGGCAAATCCCAAGTTGGGTCGCTCCCGCTCGCCAACAATGTTCAACATTTCCACTAGTATAATATACCTGTTTCATGTTGTCCCCCTGTCCATGGAGGTTACAAAGTTGAGAGTGAAAGATTACTATAGCACGCCCACTAGCCCAGGACAAGAAAAGTAACCCTTTGATTCTTATATATCTTGTTGCAGAACAAGAAGTTTCTTTTAGGCCAGGAGTTACTAGTGGTAAACATAAGTAAGTAAGAGGTAGGCCTGCTAATTATTTCAGGATGGAAGAAGATGCAACAATAATACAGTGTGTGTGAGTGAGTGTCTACCAAGTCTGTGTGTGATGTCCTTGGCCTGATCAGCAGTGACCGCTACCTCTCCATAAGGTACCGAGATTCCAAAGCTGCCCATCAGCTCCATGCTGTGGTGCTCATGTAGGGAGACATGGCGAGTAGACTGTGCCAGCACAGCCCCTGCCTGTAGGTAATACACACACAGTAGAGATGATTATATAACTTCACCAGTCTAACAGTGTGCATACATTAAATGTAAAGAATACAGAGGGATGGTACTATAAAAGGATATTTACGCAGCATTCAAGCAGGGCAGAAGCTAACCTAGGCGGACTGATAGGTCACTCAAAATAAGCCACAGGGTCCTGAAATAAACACCTGTTGATTCAAAGCGTGTAGTTAAGGTTACTTACTCTCATCCACGGAGGACTACTTCTGCTGAGGGCTCCACGGACCGACGGAGCCCGTATACACCGCGTCCACAAACCGATCTTCACCCTAGCCATTGTTGTAGTTGGTAACCTTTGACCTTTACCCGTAAGAGTAACGCGCATGCGTACCGCAGGCTATAGAGGTGAGCGCTCGCGATCAAGGGACTACCCTGGGATTGCCCCGCGTATTAGTGTGGTGACAGTGGAATGATGTTCGCAGGTAGTTGGTGACATGGAATAGTGTTCGCAGGTAGTTTACTTCTTTGAGGGGCAATGATCCCCAAGCCCAGCTGCCTAGCTGACGCGAAGAAGTCGCCACCGCAAGCTGACTTTGCTTACTGGAGTATCGTAGAATTGTCGTGTTTATCCTGCCTAGAGATGAAAAGCTGGTCTAGAAAGATTGCTTGCTTCGTTGTGTTGTGTTGGTTCTGCAGAACCACTTTGCTCGGTGAGGATGCATATTATAGCATGCTGCCACCCCTTGTTTCAGTTCAGCTCTATCCAACTTTTTTTCTTGATTTCCTCCTCACAGTCAATGCTCAGCTGGAGGAAGCAACTTTCAAATCTTATACGAGTATTTCCTAACATCCCACTGTGTAATTAGGTGTTACTGGTCTTCCAAAGGACGTCAAGGTCATACATTTGGTTTATGCTTGCAATATGTTCCCCAAACCCCTTCCAACCTGGCATCAGCTCATTACGATCATCCTTTTCATACCCTCGAGAACGGTGACGTTATTGTTTTCGATTCCTCGTTGGGATGGCTGTCATATGCCATTGTCAGCAACACTGATCCCGGTGCTGGAGAGTACTTTGCTTGCCAATGAGCATGCGCAGCCTGTATTTGATGTGTCAGCTTTGTTTGAATCTGGACAATGTACGCCTGAGAGAGATCCTATTAATTTGTTGAGAGCTGTATGAACTCTACCAGTTTCACCCTTGTCCAAGCAAGAAAACAAAGTGTTACTTTACAGCGTGCGTTGGTGTGTGTTGAGAGACAACCCAAAGTTTATCTTTTCCGGTTCAACTCTGAGCATTTTGCAACCGTGCTTTAATGATGAACGAGTAAGCAACCAGATACTAATCTGCAGGGGCACATAAGAACATCTACATTAGTGGTGGGCTGGCAGCAGCAGGCACGAAAAGAAGGAATGCCAACACTTCTAATTGGTCAAAACACAGTTGATGTTAGGAATGTCCAAGGCCACAGAGAACTGTTAAAGTTGGAGTAAAGCAAGCCGCCAGAGACGGAGTGAGCAAGCAGCCAGAGAAGGAGAGTAAAGCACGCCGCCAGAGAAGGAGTAAAGCAAGCTGCCAGAGAAGGAGTGAAGCAAGCCGCCAGGCCTGTCTCCTTACCTTCGCTTATCCTTTGCTATTCTTTTCCCGCTTATTCCCCACTTCGGGACTCTACATATTGAGCCACACTGCAACTGCTTCGGGCGGCGAGCCACCTGAGTCCCGGTCCAGAGATTCAGATTGCCCGTGACGAAGAGCGCTGCTCCTTCTCTTCAGGACGTCGAAGGCGATCAGCACGAAAGAACTCGAGAGTTCACGGCGCCGGTCGCGTCTGTAGGAAGAGAGGCCGGCTTGCGCCTCCTCGAAGCAGAAGTAGAAGGTCGGCTGCCGCTGGCTCGTGCGGACCTGTGAACGGGCGCCGCGGATCATCGCCTTCGCCTTGGTCGACTGGATGCCGTCGTAAGTCAGCTCGAGAGACTCCGCTGCCGGTCTTGGTCGAGGTCGGCTGAGTCAGTTCCAGGTCAACCAGTCGAACCCTCTTCCGAGAGGAAGATGCCAGGACTCTTGCAGGGCGTTCCCTCGAATTTCGAGGCGACATTGGCGACCAGCGATGCACGCGTCCCGGACACGATGTTGAGAGTATCCGCCTCCGCCGCATCGCCACCGGTGGACGCCGCCGGAACGCCGGCGTTCGTCATCGCCTCCAGCACTTCCGCATCCACCTGTGCCTGAGAAAGCGCGACCAGGGCGTCGACCGACGTGTCGAAGTCTGTCTGGGAACTCCTGATCTTGGCGACGATGACCGACGCCGGAAGTCCCAGACCGGCTGCGTCAGTCGAACGACATCCTCGTTCGTCAGGACCTCGACCTCTTCCTGGCCCAGCGTTGGCAGGGTGGACACGAACAGAAAGACCAGACAGCCGAACGCAATGAAAGGCGTCTACGCGCATGGAACGGTCTCCCAGGAGATACCGTGCCAATCAGGAACCTGGCCAAACAGGCTAGCAGGCCGGGAGTTCATGTGGGCGTTTCCGTCAGTCGGTGCCACTGTACTACCTCGATCGCCCGTCGAGGACGTCGA